CTGCTGTGGTTTTAGCAGAGAGATTAACTACCGGACCTAAGCTGGCCTCCAAACCTTGCCCTGCTGATGCCTCTGGCTCTTTGAAGTCTGACCATCATACCTGGCAAAACAACAGTGGGAACTAGGACGGTGTCAGATCTAATCAAATTGCTCACTGCAGCACAGCTAACTATGGGGTTCACTAATTGGCCCAATTGAGGATTATACCTTTTGCTACAGATTCACGACAATAATTTAGTTAAATGATGTCCCCCCCCCAATCTCTTCTAATTAAGATTCCAAAGTTGGAAGAAATAGGATTAGACAGAGTCTCACAACTGTGTTCCCTTTAAGGTGGTATGCACTTTTGATAGGTTCACTATGGAAATGTAAAATACATATAGTTAATATAATATATATATATATATATATATAATTAAACCAACATCTAGAGATTCTGAGAATCTGTGACACTGCTATATGCCTTTATGACTAAAGAATTAAGTGAAAATGAGTATAGTACATTTAAAATGTGAACATACAAAAATTACATTTTACTGTTTCAAAGTGTCAATTTTTGGTGTGTGTGTGTGTGTGAAAGAGAGAGAGAGAGACAGACAGAGAGATAGAGACAGAGACAGAGAATGAACTTGTGCGTGTGAGTGGGCATACACTTGGAGGTATATTTACCTTGTGTGGACATGTGAAGCCCAGGTGGTAACAGACATTTTCTTCTATTTCTTTGCCTCCTTATGTTTTGAGACAAGGTCACTCAATGAACCTGGAGCTCTCACTTTTGGCAAGACAGGCCAGCCAGTGAACCTCTGGGATCCATCTGTCTCTGCCCTCCCAGTGTTAGGGTTATAGGTGTGCTTGGCCACATCTGGCTTTTATATGTGGCTGGGGATCAAACAGGTCCTCGGGCTTATGCAGCAAGCATCTTATCTACTGTGCCATTCCCTTCCTTTCAGTTTACTTTTGACAAGTGATTGCATTCAGATGAATAGACACCTATAGTTAATATTTTAGTTTTGGTATTAGCAGTATACTTATGAACACAGGTAACTTTAGTAACAAATATTTATCAAGGATAGTATTATTAGAACATTTATATTAATTAGACTATATGGCCATGACACCACCTCTTAATAAGGCTTCCAAGGTGGATGTTTATGAATCTATTACTTCAGTATCACCTCTGTGAATTGACAGGTAAGTTTCCCTTCTCACTCTTTATCTTTGGGTATAATAAACATATTTCATCCTCTTATTTCTCATTAAAAAACTGGAAAGGCCATGGAAAATAAATGCAGAGAAGTAAATCTAGGGCTGATAATATCATGCAACATTCTGAGCTGTTAATGCTGTCACAGTGACTAATAAATAGTGTGTGGGACTTTATACTTTGCAAATTGTAAACATTCCAGGTAAGTCCAGGAAGTTACATCAAATTCTTATATTATTATTAAGCTAACTAACATCAATAGCACATGCAATTTTGGTATCAATAATTAAGAATGAATCTATCTAGTAGGTACACTAAGATAGCTAGTTTATAGTAACTGGTTGGTCAATTATTTTGTGAGAAAAAAGCCTTGGTGACTGGAGTTATTGAGAGGTCTCATATTCTGAACTGGTTTCAAAGTATCACAAGTCAATCTTGAATAATTTTGATTTGCTTTGACAGAATCTGCTTTCAATACTCAGTCTATAAAACTCAGATACATTAATTATGCTGATTGTGACTTGACCAGTTCAAACCTATTTACTGAGCTTTTGTAGTTACAGGAGGTACCTTCTATGAATTTCAGCAAAACTCAATTGTCATACTTGCCAACTTGAACCTAGAAACTTTGATGCTTAGAGCTGAAAAACTGCCCCATAACAAGGAAACTTTTTGTAATAATTTTGTAGATGCTGCAACTAATGTAATAATATATTATCATTTGTTAGGAAATTCAATTAGTAGAATATGAAAGCTGAAAATACAAAATCAAAATGTTATCATATTCAAGTAAAATGCTGTTCCTATGATACCATCAAATTCCATGCAGCCATACTTCAAACCCTACCAGATTTACTTGACTATGCATTATAAGTGCATCATAATTATAAAGAAAAATTAGTTAATGATAATACCAACATTATCAAAGAAAACAAACTGCCACACTTAAAAGATCTTATGTTTAGGCAGTCAGTTCAGCTCAGTAGTGAGGCCACTACAGAGTTACAAATTCTAGAGTGGGATTTACATGCTATGCACAGCTGTATCACTTAGGCCATTTAAAGATTTCATTCATAACCCCTTTATATAGTATACATTCTGGCACATACATACATCTGCTGAGGACATGACATATAGCTACTTTAGCTGCAGCATCATCACTCAGGGCTTCAGTGTCAGCATTGGAGCCAGGATTTTGCTATGCTTTTCATAACATCTAACTTAATTAAGCAGCTTTATAATTACAGTGGATTATAATAATCTATCCTGATAAATGTTTTCTTTTGAATCAGACAAAATCAATATGAACACCATGAAGGAGAAAATGCCATTCTGTCTTTGAGTCACTTAAGGTTGGAAAGTACTGTGTTGCCCCACCTGTCATGTGTAAAGATTTTAATACCACTTGCTCCATCCCGCACTGCCTTTGCTTCTGTCTCCATTCACCCTTCATTTGTGAATCATGTGACTTCAGGTAGATCCCAATTTGTAATAAATCTGCCCACATGGGATCAGAAAAGTTACTTGTAATTTACCACCAAGCTAGGTTTTGCTTCTGGGAAGAACACCCTGATTCAGTGCCCAGAGCATTCCCTCCTCAGACTATTCAAGGAGTATAGCTTGCATTTTACTTTAAAAAAATGTCAGAACATTAAAAAGATTTATGACCCATTGTGGTGGTACAAACCCTTAATCCCAGCAAATGGGAAGCAGAGGCAGGTGGATCTCTGTGAGTTAGAGGCCAGCCTGGTCTACAAAGAAAGTTCTAGGACAGCCAAGGCTGGTAGCTAGAGAAATCCTGTCTCAAAAAACAAGACAAGACAAAATAAAACAAAACAACAACAAAAGAACAAGATTTATGCATTTCTACTAGGTTTGTCATTTAAAATTGTTTTTACCTGAACTTTTATTTTATAACCCCCACAAATCTTTACTGACTAGATCAAACCAAAGTGACAAGGATTTGATTGAGTGTACTGAATATGAACTTATTTAAAGGGTGACTTTATTTTTGTTTTGTTTTCAAATACTGCTTCCAAACCACAGGGTGACAATTGTGATTCTTTTAGTTTTGTGTAGTAACAAGAAGTCTGTAATCAACACTCTCTATTAGAACCTACAGCCATTCAAGGGAGTAGTCTCACTTAACATTACACAGGTCCTGTATTTCCCCTTTCTATGCTCCCCATAAGACACTGTAAGGGCACAAACAGGATTCACATCCTACTTTTGACATAGTAACTTTTCCACTGAGGAATTCTTGCTTAATTTCGACACAATAGAAATGATGCCTTACAAACGTTTTAAAAATTACTGGGGAGAATATCACGTGGAGGGAAAAATTTCTATCTTTCATTTGAAACATAAATTCAACTTAAAAAAGCAAGCATACTTTTGCCAGACAATAAGCTATAACTTCGTTCTCTAAATGTTTAAGATAGTAAGTCACTTGGTATCCCATCAGAAAAGCTGAGACAATGTTGGTACAGTGACAGTCTTAGGTTCCATTTTAGTGGTTTCCTTTGAGAAGTAAGGCAAATTAGCTCAAGAATCACTATTCCTACACACCCTCTTGGGGCTCTAAGTGGCTTTTGAACAGAACTCTCCAGATGAGGAACTTCTAACACTCCTGCAGAGATGACCTGCCTGAAGAACTGGATGCCTGATTAACTATTAACTGCTCTCAATAGGATTAGATAATTAAGGACATTGATGACCATTAATTAGGAGGAGGGCACATTAATTTGTCACAGGATAGGACCCTTATGATGATTTATAGGTTAGTGCTACTTGTAAATGTGAAGGGACAGAGAAAGAGACAGAGAGCCATTAAGTTACCTTATCAAGTGGCCAGCTTAAAGAGGGCAGAGGGTCAAAGAAGGGCCAAAGTGGTCACTTTAAGGGTGAAGTCCCAAACACCAAAGCAGTGCCAAGCCACATTGACCATCATTTGGTGATGAAGTTAAAAATATGCTAATTTATTGGTGGTAATTCTCTCTTTTTATGGTTTCAAGCAGTTAAGACAAGTGGCCTGCTTAAGAGCTTTTCATTTGAAAAGAGATTAAACAAAATGGTTTGTCAAGGCAGTTTGGCTGTTTTATGTCTTTGTTGAAAAAAATTTGCACCAGCCATACTGATAACTATCACACCACCCAAATGTCATCTCTCTGAACATTTACTTCATTAATAAATATATCAAGCCTAATTGCTTAATAGTTCACGTTCACTTGCTCTTTAGCAAGATTAAACTGAAACAACTCCTTTGTATCGATTTCTGACATCCTTCTTGCAGAACGGTCACAAAATTCACATGTAGAAAATTTTCTTTAGCCACTAGTATAACTTGTACTTTAATTCAACATTTTAAAATTCAAAATTTTAAAATTTAATATTTAAAAACAAAGCAAACAAACAAAAAAACCTTTAGGAGGTAGGGATGAAACTTCTCTTCTTATCCAAACACTGTTGTGGGTAGCATTCATATTCCATACACAGTAAGCACAGCTCATTAACATTTAATTAAATGCCTTTGAAAGCCTTGGAGATGCATGTCGTATTCATCATTCGAGTTTGGAGCTTATTTTTAATAGCTATTAAAACATTTTTTTTTTTGCTGTACTTGAATAATAACACACAATCAGAATGCAGGAAAATATAACAAAAATTAGTCTATTATAACAAAGGCACTTAATTTGTACCCTCAAATGTGTCTTAAATGTTTTATTAGAGTGAAAAGCACGGGTGAGGGGGACCATTTACCTTAAGACAGTGAGCTAAAACATAAAAATTCTCTTACCTCAATGGTGAACAGCTTCCGTTTTAACTTAAAAGCTAAGTCTTTGACATCCGATTCATCACAAGTCAAGTTATTAAGCCGAGGAATCTTCCGTATATGGATCAAACCTCACAGAAAGGAAATTAAAAGAAAAAGCCTTAAGTGCTGTCATCAGAGGCAGAAATTAAGGAGTCTTACAGCAGAATCTGTAAATTTACACACAAGCATCCTCCCTTTAAAACAGGAGCTGACTACCAGGAGCAGTGAAGCAAATGGTGTGATTATACTCAAGTAATCAAGCAGAATAAGATAAACAGAAATCCTTGAGCGAGGAAAACTAATTGCACTTTGGTTCAGGAATACAGATGTAAAGAGGGATCTTAATACTTGTCAAAACTACAGCCGGTCTGTGTGTGATTTTCTTTCGTATTTACAGTAAGCAAATATGGCTATCACCTTGCGTGCTGCCCACAGCACCACTGAGCGATCTTTATTTTATTAAATGCACCAGTAAGCAGCCAACAAAACAAGGCTCTTGGGTTACTGATAACCTGCAAAACACCAATAATGACTATTTCATTTTGTACACTGAACAAACTATTGAAGAAAACTACATTTCAGCACAGTCTAGGATCAAACATTAGCTTGTATGCCATCCGGAAACACTGATTTTTATGGCACGTTAGGCCCTTATGTGGCCATTAGAAGCTCTGCAGCAGTGCTAGGTAAACCGTGAGCTCGGGGCCTCATCAGCAGAAACACTTGCTAATCTTTCCTGACAAGGCACTGGAAGGCTTTTGTGTAGTTTCTGACTAAACTAGGGGTCAGTTCCCACAGATGAAGACATAGAAGGATCTTCAGTGCATCTTTTTGCCTGACTCAGCTCATATTTGAAAATACCATCTCAGGGATACTGATCCTGAACATGGAATATGAGATAGCAAATTTCAGATTGGAGTACACAAACCTTATTTACAGAACTGCTTGCTTATGTGTGTGTATGTGGATGGTCATTAACGTAGTCATGAGTTTAGATTTAAAGTGTAAACCTTCAGGTAACTTCATTGTTACAAACAACTTCTTCAAAAAAATTCACTAAAGTAAGAATGCTTACATTTTAAATATAATATTGTAATAAATAATTTGAGATTTTCATAAAATATATTTTGATCATATTTCTCTCCTACTTCTCATTAAGACAATAGCCCTTAACAATTAAAATATCTCATACATACTTATTTAGTAAAATACACTTACTAGAGATAAGGACAGCATATTTCTCAGTTTACCCTTACAACGTGCTTGTTAGGTAATTACTAAGTTAGGAGACCTTATATAATTCACTATTTTATTATAAGGTCCTTCTTATTAATGGAACACTAACAAATAATCAGAATTACTCTTACACATGGAGAATAATTTACTGATTCAGAGATTCAGCACAAAAAGAATGACAGTTCAACCTTTGAGATGTTTTAACCAAAATAATGTAGACATAAAACATAATTTCAGTAAGTTTATAAATAAATTCTTATAAATGATAATGTAACTTACAAAGGTAACATCTAAATTGATTTTTTAAAAAGAAAATATAACAGTAATATATCTAAAATAGCCAAATTATCTTAGTTCTCTTCTCATCATAGTGAAAAATGATGTATTAAATAAATCCAATGTAGGGTTAACTTGCACATATATGATATGTTCATTTAATAAGGTAAAGAACCAGGAGGTGCATTATTTTACTGTGGTTTACAACTTACAGTTTTTTATCATAAAAAAAAAGACTTGTTAGCTTATGTTATTTCATCATTGGTCTAAAGGCTGACTTCTCAAAGCACTAACAATTATACAAAGTACCTTGTCATCTTTAATGCTTTTTTAAAGACTCTTAAATGTTAGCAAACAAAGTTTGTTGCCACAAAGGTAGCAAACTTAAAACACGTTGATAAATCTATAGTCTAGAAGTTCAAAGTATAAGTTCCAAAATTATATCATAATTACATTTATTTAGAACACATAATAGGTAAGTGTGTTATTTATAACACTTTGTATTGAGTTTAGAACTAAGATCACATAACTACTAACCTTCTACTCTTCAAATCATTACGTGAAAATAGTATTTCTTAAAAAAAATTTCAATTAGCCAAATGACCAAAGTACTTTTAAAGCTTTAAAAAGGGGGGTTGAGAATAGTGTGGAATGGTAGAATCTATACTTAGAATGCACAAGACTGGACGTTCAAGCTCCAGCATAAAAAACAAAACAAAAATATCATGTAGTAAAATGTCAAATCAATTCTTCTGGGTTTATGTTGGGGTGACAAAGTAATATGGAACCCCCTTTTAAGGTGCTAGTGCTGGGGATTGAACACATGGTCTTGTGCAAATCAGGCAGATATTCTAACACTGAGCTACATCTCAGCCCAGAATGCACCATACCATACAGCTAGCTTTGTAAAGAATGCATATATATATATATATATATATATATATATATATATATATATATACATACTGAAATGCTATTAAAGGTTTACTATTCATTATTCAAAATGCTTAGGACCAGACCACTTCATATTTTAGATTTTAAAATTAGGGATATTTGTAATATGCTTACTTCAAATATGGCTAATGTATATGACTGATTTGATAGAAACTATATGCCATTGGCACAACAATACTTCAGACCCTGGCTTTGACTACTTTCAGTTACTACCTATTACTACTAATCTTAGTTTGACAAATGGCTGAAGTAGAATTATTAAGCAGGGAGGGAAAGTATTTAACTGATATGGGGTGGGAAAAAGTTCAGACTACGTTATAGCAGATGTTCTGACTAGACTAGGAGGATGCTTTCAAGAAGCACTCAGAACATGCTCTTATCTATGATAAAGATGATGCTTACCATGATAATCCTTATATAATGAGTTGGTTTCTTTCTCTGAACCAATAAAAGATTCCAGACCAACTACTGTATCTGACAAATTTCTCACACGAGCAGTAATTGCTTTATTCTGAAAAAACAGAAATGGAATACTCATGTCATAATTAATTACAAAATAAACATGTATACAGAACCACTAAGCCATCTTGAACACAAATTGTAGTGGAGATAAGAAATACTAACACCAGAGTCTGGAAAACACATGGCGTAGTCTCTAAATTGAATGGTCTGATCTATATAGCTATTGTATGTTAAAGAGTTGAAGGCAAGGTGAAAACATTAATTACTGTTCATTTGGCCTAATGAATGAGGCTACACTTATTCTTACACATTGTTTTTCCACGTTACTTTTACTCCTGTCCACTGGAGAACTTGGCAGACAATGGGATTCAGACAACAATGTAAAGCAGGGCAAGAGTCCCACTGTTGCACATCAGCTGGGACTAGGTCTCAGTCCTGTGACAAGCTCTAGTGCTCTGTGACATATTAGAAACATAGAGTGGTCTGGCTAAAGGGCTGCAATATGTGGCTACTTCTGGAATCTTCTGTGTCCTTTTCCAGATGCTGCCACTAGCTCTAGAGCAACAACAAAGGCAAAGAAACCATGATTAGCACTGACCTATGGCAAACAACTTCTTCCTGAACACAGCTTGAGATGAATCCGACAGTACTCAACAGAATAGCTTGGGAATGTCCTGGTACTAGATTAAAACAATATGTTAACATGATTCTAAGCACAGGACACCTAGTTGCTAAATAGTAATGATTCAAAAACCCCCATAGCCAGAAAAGTAAAATCACTGAGTAGCCAGTTGCTTTTGCAATTATTTTACTTAATGTAAATTCAGTATTTCCTGTAGCTTCTGACAGGGTGATAGCCAGGAAATCATAATCCTCTAATACACGAGGACATGACATTTTTGCTCTACAGACATGGATTTGTTGAAATTAATCATTATTTGTGCAATTTTGAAATTTTTAAACTCTCACTTTATATACTGGTAATACCCACTAAATTAAAAACTATTTTTAGAAGAAAAAGATGGGAGATGTAAGGCAGTCAAGAAAACTGGCTTGTTTGGTGCTATGTCTTCTGTTAGAGGAGAGACCACAAGGATTTTCATTTTGCAAAAGCTTCATGACTACTACTGGGTTTAGTGCTGTTTTTCAGTCTCTTAAGGGCCTTTGTAAAGACTGATGAGAGTGGACAGTAAAAGAAGGTATGCTGGTACTATATGATTCAAAGGGAAACAAATGCACAGTGGTCTGGGTTTCCAAACATTCTGCTGAAATAGTTTGCTGGCTCACACCTCAGGCAGTATTTAGAAGCTCCTCCCTAGGAGGAATGCATATTGTGTGGAGGACATTTCAGCTTCTAATCTTTGACTGGGAAATGAGACAGTGTAAAAAAGTTTTCTTTGTCTTTGAAAAACTTTCAGTTATGTGAGCACACTAAGTATAGAATACATATAAAATCCGCAAATGGCTATTTTTCCAAAGGCAATTCTTCACTCAATGGTGAGAAAATAATCCAGATTGATTCCTTATTTTCAGTGCTGTGCCACAGGGAATGATACTACTCCAGGAATAACAGGGGCTTCAGAGGCCAGAAACATGTTCCTCTCAATATTTCTTTAGCCAAAGACCATTATATCAAACTCATCCAGGTTGGGTTTCAGCCAGTTATTCTTCACCCAAACAAACATGTCTGCCAGACATTCCAACAGCTGGGAGACAGTTCACAATGAGTCAACTTGAAAATGATTCATTGTGCTGAGTACTGAACAATGTTGCGATGGGGGTGGGGTGTGGCTGGGTTGGTAGTAAAGGGTGAGAACAAGTGGGAGATGAAGAAAAACCATATAATTCCCCTATCAAGGAGAATCTTGGATACTAACCAGAAGGCTCCTATCATTTCAGTTTTAGCATAAACTGAAGAGAAGAGTACTCATATCATGGACCTTCAGATGAGCAAGAGCTTATCAAGGCAACTGACAGTATTTCTTAATATAAAAGGTCAGATTTACTTTTATCTATTAATAAAAGACAGAGTCTTTATATCTAAATATCTAAGTTTGTTAGGATTCACCTACTCAAGATTTCAGGCATATCATCTCGGGTCTTTCCAATTATATGATTAGTAAAAGTGTAAGGTGTAAAGATGAATTAATTTCTATTCTAACAGTAAGGAAATGCTGCATATTTAAAATACTAACTGGACACTGTTATTTCCTTCTTTATTTAACACTAAAGTTAACCAATAAACCACTAAAAGGCTGTAACAGCTATCAATTTTTTAGGTCTTTTGAAAAACAGTGTTTTTATAAAACAGGTGATAAATTAATTATATTCACTGAAGAAAACTAATGAATTCTAAATGTAAAACAGCATGTACAGCCTGATTTCAAAATTTCTCAGAAATGTATTCACTCATTCATGGATCTTACATACTGTATTTCTAAGCTCTATATTTGTGTCCCTGCTACTAATTAGGAACTAAAATTGATATAAAAAGCTTTCGTGAGACTTTATGCTAAGAATAAACATTTAATTGTATTGTTACCATAAAAGAAGTTATGTTTAACAGTGATCTTACTGATTTCTGCACAGCTATTTTGCAAAGGTTGACACAATGTGGCTAACCAGGCTAACTGTGAAAATTATACAAATATGTAAAATCATCCATAGAAAAAGAATTTGGAAAAACTATAAAAGAATAACATCTGTTTTCTGACCAAGAGAACCTTTATTTTTATAATAAGCACAATCAGTCTCTAGCTATTTGTAGGAACACAGAAAGATATTTGAGCAAGGAAATACATTTTTATAAGGATGAAAAAAGATGTAATAGCTTGTGTATGTTGAGGATTCACTTAGGGTATGGTTCCCCAATGCAGCATTACTTCAGAGTCATGCTCATTACAAGGTTCTTCAAGTCACTGTATTGATACTAAATGGTCTTTTAGATAAAGGTAGGTGAATTTACATAAAAGAACAAAAATTAATGCATTTAGAAAACCCTTGAAAGCATAATAATCACAATTCAGTTTGTCATGTAAAAATTATCATAATATGGCCAGTGGTGTTCAGAAATGTTTAGCATAGTGACTAGAGTGGGATTTTGACATAGAACTTCTACATTCTTATCCTGCCAGACTCTAAGCATTTTCATTTAGTAGCAAAGATGTGAAACTTCCAGGTCTTTAGTTGAAAATGAAGAAGTGACAGAATCTGTGCATCAGGACCAAGATACATATTTAAACAACATTTCTACTTTAGTTTTGAAATTGCTAAATTAAAGTTTCAGGTGAGGATTACTTGGACAAGTATATTAGAACGTAACCATTATGACTAAATTAATGGCTATAGTGCACATGTGCCATAATGACATCACCCAAGTATGTACAACGATATTGCCACCCCTCCTCCTTGCCCATCTGGATAGGAAAATCTAGGATGACTCAAAAATCCTTCTTCTTCTAGACAAATCTCCCTTTGCTCCTGGGTGAAAGTTGTCAGCTCTGGATAGTAGCCAAGACATGACTAGGAGGGAAGCCAGCAGAGAAGAGAGCTGGTGTCTAGGAGTTTTAAGACTTTGCTGGCAATCTCAGATGGCATTGTCATAAGTTGTGGAAAGGTCCTTAATATTTTCTGTTTCAGTGTAATTTCTTAACTATTTAAATTTAACTCACATCAGGTGCTGCTGAAAAGAATCAAGGAAAACTAGACTCCAGTTGTCTCCCATTTTATTGTAATTTAGATTCTCAAGAACCTGGTGAGTTTTTGCTTTGACTGTTTCTTGTTTGCTTCTAAAGAATGGTAGCACAGTTTTATTTAGGATATGTCAAATCCATTAAAGGCATTTTAAATTATCAAAAGAGTAATTTAATCCTTCCTTTCAGCTCAAAGCTCATAAAGCTAAAGTAGGAATTTTAAGATAAAAATTCCACTACTGTCATATAAAGCTTCCACAATTGTTCTAACACAAATCTTAGCTATCGGTTAGCACTGACAAGTAACAAGGACATTTTAAACTCTGAAGATTCCTTTCCTTTGATGACACTAATTACCACAACAATACAAGGATGCAATTTGTACCAGCACGGAATAAATTTCTAGTAAATATTTTAACTTGAGAATTAAAAAAATAATCAGTATTTTAATTTCTAAGACACTTCCGAGGAATAAACTGATTGAAATCATACACACACTGTTTCAAGAATCCACTCTTGGGTTGCTCTACTTATACTATCTAAGAAAGATAGCAAAGAATATGAGAGAAGAGCTCCCATTTGAAGATGGCATGAACATCATATCTGGACAAAACACTGCTCCAGTTAGAGAAGGAGATATTTAGTTCCTTTCTGTTTGACTGGGAGGTGTGCATGTGCATGTAGAACTCCCACAATTGAGCTTAGGATACCAAACCTTTTTTGAAAAAGGCAGACATGTGTTTCTTATGAAATTGAACACTAAAGCTAAATAAGGGACAAATCTAGGGATATTTGAGGAAGAATGCTTTTCTTATTTCTTATTTCCTCAATTATATTAAAATGACTATGAAACAATATGATTTTTGATAATTCTGTTCATTATTTTTATCTTAATAAAGAAAGTGATTTTATCTGACAAAATTATACTACCAGACTTATAATGTCTATGAAATTAAATCATTGCAGATTTAATGCTTTCAGTGAAGCTCACATTTTATTTTAGAATATAGAGAAAACTTTTTATAAATAAGGTAATATAAATGGAACCTATCTCTTGGTATCATCACATAATAACATTCATACAAGTAAATAATAAAACGAACATTTTTCTCCTAAAGCTTGAAACATTGCACAAAGGAGCTGAAGACAAATATATTTCAATTTAAAGGAGAAAGAAATTGTTGGACTTTTCACATTTGTAGTAGGAAAAAGCAATGAAACCACAATTTTTTTGTGTGCTCTATCTGATCAACCACTTGGTATTCTAACTTGGCTTTGAAAAGGCTTTCTCCTTATTTGTTTTAGAGCATGATTTTAGAAATACCACTTGTTTACACAGAGTAGATATTTATATGAG